GGCAGACGCACCACCGCCCCGCCTCCCGCCCCACGGCGGGCCACGCGGGGGGAGCCATCGTAGGCCGGGGGGGTGTGTTGGCGGGGGGGGGGGGGGGGGGGGGGGGGGGGGGGGGGCTTAATCAAAAATGACAGTTTATTATCGTACCTGTTAGTATAGGATGATCGAACTTGATCTATTGCTTGTGGATAATAATAGTAATAATCAAAGTATTACATATCTCAATATATTCACTTTTAGAACAGAATAAAAACAATGAATATTTTATTTTTTTAACAAATATTAGTTATTCAAAATATTTAATATATCTATTCAATATTCTGTATTGATTGCAGCAGAGTTACAGCATCGAACTATGATCTGACATGCAACTAAAAATAATGCACGAGTTGGTTTTGTATAATAATAATAATAACATATAATTGTTCTTGTATGATAACTATTTATTTATATCTAGAAATAAAATGAATAATTTTTATTTAACAATTTTAAAATCAACTGTTATTATTATTTACGGATGCTACTCAAACCTAATTACAAATTTTCGTACAACGTATAAACACATTGAAAACAATAAGGCAAAAAATTAATATAAGTACATATGATTGACAAGAACAAGTTTCTTGTAATTCAAATATAAATTCCAAGACAATTAAGGAATTCGGTAACAATGAAACGGTTATCAGAGGCAAATACTCGAGACAATTATTTTTCAAAAGTTGTAACTAAAAGTAGATTCATTGTGAAATTTGTCAGCATTGCGCTCTAATCTAGTACATGAATAACAAATTAAGAAAAGAAACAGAACGTGTATTTTCTACAAAAAGAGAGTTATTTCTATAATTCTCTTTTGTACTGAGTAGTTGTAAGATTCGAAAACAATAGAATAATCATTGAATAAATTTTTGTTATCCGATACCTTTCAATAGTTGTAAATATTATCAGTTCGGATTTTAACAATGATCAATTTTACGATACTCACAGAAAGTTTCACAAAAATTTTCAATGTTCAGATCAAATCAGAAGTTTCTTATTCAATCTTTCGGTTCAAGAGTATTTCATATTATGAACTCGTTCGATATTTACAATTCTTGTCAAACTAAACTTTAACTATTACAAATCTACTCGTGATATGATTTTTTATACGTTTCCCAAATAATAAAAATCTTCTAAAGTTACTGTACGAGGCGTTTCATAATTGTGATAATATATGATATTAGTAGAACGTTAGAAATCTACAGGACATGTACACTATATCTTTCAAACATGTATAAAGATTTAAAAAACACATTATCAGCTGTTCTTGATTTTAGTTAATAAATCAAATTTAATCAATAAAAAAAACCTTTCCAAGACTATATGATTATTAAGCAAAAATTAACAAAAACATTATCCACAGTTCGTGTACTTTCTAGTCGAAAAAAATCTCTCATCTATAAACTTTTATGTCGGCTAATTTTATAGTATAATGGTATTAACCACACATATTTTTGAACGTGAGAATTTACATTAATTTCTCGAATTATTTAAGTGTCAAGATCTTTGAACCTGGTAATATATTTTTATTAGTGAGATGATTTTAATATTAAAAATTCAATTTTCAATCTTAGGTTCGACATATATGCAAATCGAAAGATATGAATTTTTCGAGTTTTCACACTTCGAAAATGAATAATATATTACGACTTTAAACTCAATTTGGCTTGCTTTTCAGTTGTACAAAGTTCAATATCGATATTTGAAACTCGAATTTGTCATGGAAATCTGTATTTCTATTATCAGACCCAAATGTCGTGATACTCAAATTATGATGCAGTGAGTAATCAACTATGAAGCTATGTCTTTAAAGCATCTTGTAGCTTAGCGTATTACCAAGTAGCTACTCTGTAAGTCCAATATCTTCTCAACAATCAATAATAACTGTAGATCAGAATATGAGATTATTTTAACTCAAAATTATTTTCGCTCAATTGCTGGAGCTTCCAATCTACACGCACTGTTTTCGGTATGAAGGCAGTATGCAAACAGAAGGATAACCTATGATCATCTACTATCAATTATTTGTCTCTACTCATTTTATTCCGATCAATTGACATCGAAGCTTGAACAACTTAAATAATATATACATGTTGATGTACTTCACACTACTTGACATAAATAATACATGGTCTTGAGTAAAGAGTATACTAAAAATATATTTCATAAGTAATGCATGTACAAACAAACAAAATTAAGCAAACAAAAGAAAATAAATCTAAACTCACTACTCAATAAAATCATTGTATTTTTAGAAAATTCAGTCAATTATATAGAAATTAATATTCAATCCATTAATTTGAATTTCTCTGTTAATTCCATCAAGTATTTCTTTGTGTTGTTGAAACATTTGTTTCATATTGATCATGTTCGTATTTTTTCATACAATCAATAACATCTTTCCAATAGTCATTAGCAATAGTTCGTTCGAACAATAAGCTGTCGTATATTTCAAATGAGTTGTGTACTAGTAAATAAAAAAATGAAAATAAATAAATAAACAACATTAGTTTTCTTTACCATATGGATCAAGAACTTGGTATTCATTGATCGTAGAAAAATAATTGTATCGATAACACTGTAATAGATTGGAGCTACTATCTATAGAAAAAAAGAATTCCATAAACTTTTTATACTTTTCAACGTCATACTAACTTACCGCATTCTCTTGGTAGAACTTGAAAATTCATTGCAATTCGTCTATTTTTACAAATTGTAAATGGAATCTTTGTAGCTAAATGAGGTCTTAAATCAAAATAACTACAATATTGATCTCCTTCTAAAATAATTGGACTTCCAGCTTCGAATGAAAAGCGAATACCCAGATATTGGCCTTTATCAATTGGCATATTAAGATCAGTAAATGTTTGTATGCCAGTTTTTTGCATTATTCCTTCTAATGGTTTATATTCAACGATATCGAATTCATTTGGTATTATTCCAGCTTTCATTACAAATAGGCATATTTCAGGTTTTGAAACTGTTGGTGCAGTTGAAAAATGAATTGAAACTTTGTTAATAATGCCATCTAATTTAACTTGATCCTTACTATTGAACGAAATCATATTATGAATAGTCCAACATAATTTATTATTAATGACAAGTGGACCATATATGATAGCTAAATAAAATTTCAATTCAAATTTATATTTAATATTCATTCTAGCTTCATACAAAACAGATAAACTAACCATTTGCCTTATTTTGAAAACCAGCAAGAACACGTTGTAAAATTAGTGACAAATATTGCAAAAGATTCAATGGTGGAATACATGCAATTTTTCTTGAATACTCATTGACAAGAAGAAATCGTTGATAGGCATAACTATTGTTCGCTTTATCTTTCATATTGTCGAATGATTTACTAGACATAGAAATAAATAATATAAATATGAGAACAAAAAATTGATATTACTAATAGATTGTAGAAACGAGAGATAGACTCTCAATTGAATTCAAGTTTCATTATTATAATAATAATCCATCTTATCATGGTGGATTCGATTTGATCATGAGTAGAACAAAATAAAATTCTACTGTAATTATGAGTTTCAGGAAACATCAAAGGACTACCAAACTGAATTCATTGTGATAGCATCAATTATTAGAATAATAACAAAACAATCGTTACTTTGTTTATTAGTTTTAGATTTCAAAATTAGATCAAAACCTATAAAATCAGTAAAAAATTTTATTCTCAACATGCTTTCTTCGCTGATATACGATTTAATAGAGTTCACCAAAAAAAAGTACTAGTAAGTAGATTTGATCTTGCAGATGACTCTATCCTTTGTTTAATATGTCTAGAATTTTTCAATCGATTTTGAATGATTTCTACTTGTTTAAGTTATAATCGTCAAGCATAAAATACAAGTCTTTGTAATTTTAAACATCATTCAGACTTTTCTTTTATTTTTGCAGAGACATGGATCTGTAGGTCTCGTTTTTAATATTTTCTATGAGTCTTAGTAATTTTTTGAAAATTATTTTTTTTCTTCTATTGGCAAAATACTTGGTTTCTAAGATTATAAATTATTAGAAATAAAAGAATCTATTTATTTTCTCTTGGAATTTAGAAAAAGATTTTTCAAAATTTTCATATATTACAATTTGCTTGGATGCACTTTGTTTTTCTTGTTACAAAAAAAACAACTTCTTCATAAAAAAAATAATCTTGCTAGTGTACTATTGTGACAAGTTACGAAGTATAGAAATCGTTAAATGCTTACTTGAACAAAGCAACAAGAACATTTAAAAGAAGAAGATTTGCAATGCAAACAAAAATGATTGTTAAAATGAATGTCATATGTCCATAGGCATCATTATCAGCTAGAATTCAAAATGAAAAATAAAGCGAATGACGTATTGATTATTACATTTTACAAAACTGTTACCGTTTAGCGTAATATCATCGACTGTTTTTTGATCTAGAATTTCAACTTGTCCATAAACTTTCCACATACCCCAATCGATAATGTTTCGAATACGTGTTGGAATCATTTTCAAAAATTCTAGATCGATCTTATCAATTTTTTTTTCCCTAAACACCAATGAATGATTGTTGGTTATATTATTGGTAGAAAATTCATTTATTTCGATGGTCTTATTATTAGTTATATTGAAGTAATCAACATCAGACATGGTTGTATCATTTTTCTCAATCTGATTTTTCGTCATCATCAATGAATATGATGTAATTGAATAGGCCATCAAGAATATGAGTATAAATATAGGAAAGATAAGTAAATCTTTTGCCTTGAAAAAAAAAAGAAAAAATAATTATTTACATTTACTGAGTAAAGGATATAGTGAAAGGTTTTTTTTCTAAAATATCCTTACAGCTTTAAATATCATTAACAATTTAGTACCACACCTTTTGGATGCCGTAAAAAGTTGTAAAATTCGGACATACCACAAACAATGAGTAATACATATGAGAATTCTATAAAACGATAAGAGATTTTGATAAGTTTTTTTTTTTTTGTGTGAAAACAGAAAGTTACTTTGGAACAAAAAACCAATTCTTGTCAACGAAACGTGTAAATAAGCTAACAAGATAACAGAACATCGCGATTAGATCAATAAGATTCCAATAATTATCTGTGATGTATTTCTTAAAAATTCGACGTATCTTTGATGTACTTCTTTGTTTGTAATAGCAGATGATCTAAATCATAAAGAGATATTAGGATAACATATACACTATCTATTTTTGTTTGTCTTTCTGATTCAATACTTGAAAAAAAATCACTATCAGCATAGTTTCTACAGAATCAAAATATGAAACATAATGGAGCACCTTTAATTCTATATTAGGACTCTCATTTATACGATTATTAATGTCAGAATCAACTAAATAGTATCTTGACATGTCTATCACAGACTATGACACATATGTAGATAGTTTTTAACTATTTGTGAATCACGTAATGCATAACGTAATACAATTATTTAAATAACTATTTATTTAGAAATATTAATCCGATGATCCAAAAAAATCACCGAAAATAACATGTCGACATATTTATCATGGCATGCATGTTGAGACCCGATTTTCTTCCTACATATATCAACACTTATTTGCAAACGTGTTGTACAATTGTTACGCGCATATGTCGTTTTACTTTCTTTTCTTACAAAAACTAACTGATTGAACATTCATACAAATCGAGATCATTTGAAAATGTGATTTGTAATGCATGACTAGAACTGTCAACAGTGGTTATGAAGTTTAGCTTAAATGTTGGAAAATTTTTGTTTTCTTCTCAGATGACAAACTCGAAATAGAATGATGATCGGAAAAAAGTCATTTTTCGAAGATTAATTGGATGGTTAATCAATTGTTTAACTGTATCTAATCTGGGAAAAAGTTTTTAGACTGTAATACTGACAACAACATATGTCTCTTTCTTTCTAGCTTGTGAAATCCGTCGATTCAGTGTTTCATTCATCATAAATTATGTCTGATGATAAATACAATTCGCTCGATGGTTAAAATAAAAAATAAACCTTATTGTAGAAAATTGGCCCTAACTTCATGGATTCAAATTTTATTCAAGAAAAAAATTATCACTATTTCGACTAAAAATATTCAACAATTTTATTATCCTCTCATTTGAAGTAAACTTTCATTTGCTGCCTATTACTTGCAAAGTTAATTACTAATGAAATTATAATGACTAAAACATATCATATGAAAAAAAAAGATGATTAATCACATCATGAATATGTAATCAGTGTACAATATAAAAATTTTACTTGAAAGATTTCATCCGCGATAATACCGATCATGCAAATATGAACAAATATTTCTTTCCATGATATACCAAAAAAATTCTCTTTATTACCATTGCTAGGTCGATAATCATGAAGTAGAACAGTACTGAACAAGAATAGAAACATAATTGTAAATAACTAAAACAAAAAATAGACAGTAATCATTATAAAAGTGGCTAAAATCTAAACAGACTCATCAATATATTCCTACAAACTTACAATATTTAATCGAAATCGCACGCATGGTGATCTAAAAAATTCAAAACCAGGACCAGGTAAACATATGGGATTTATTAGACATGTCTAAATTAGCAAATATAGACATCAAATGACAACTGATTTATTATTTGAACATACATGTTTTACTTACCTGTAGAGTACGAATACATATTGATGAATTTATATCACGTATGACAGCACCGCTCCATTGTCTGTCAAGATATTTTTGTACACATTTTGTTCCCAAAAATGACTGGCTACCAATTTCTTCGGCCAATTCTAATGGACTATAATCAAAATAGACTTCAGAATGTGATGTCAATATTTGAACTGCTAAATCTTCATTTATATTAAAACATCGATTCATTATTATTGTTGCATGTTTATCGAATATTCTAAATAAAACATTTCAAATATATATGATATTATAAATTGTCAAAAAGAAAAAAATATATATTATATACTTCTTTCGATTTCGATAAACAAGTTTTTTTTCAAAATTTTTTTCAGATTCGGCAGCAATTTGATAAATTTTACTAGCTAAAAGTGATGCTACGATTGTATTCTAGAATGATATAAGATCGATCGATTGATGAAATCCTTTGAATTTTATCGAATTATATTTAAACGATTTTTAATTACTTCTGTTTGAGAACACAAAAATGTTGTCATATGGAAACGATCCATTAATATTGTCCAAAGTAATAGATCTCGAATAAAACCTACAGTATTCAAATTATTTTTTATCTATTTATTTTGTACAGATAATCACAAACTAGATGTCGGCTGTATTTTGTAAGTGAATCTAATAGAATGATTTTCTTGTCGTGTAAACGTAATCGCATTTCTGGTTAAATATGCATTATTGACAGAATTCATATCAACATGATATGAGATATTGCCCTGAACTCGATATAGTTGACCGGTCCTTTGATCAAAACCAATAGCAAGATATTGACCTTTGTCTAAGTAAATAGTCGAGTCTGCTATCGAGAAAAAGTAATCAATAGATACAGGCTCGCCATTAGCTTTGTTGTTCCGAGTTTTACGAATAGATTGTATTGGTGTTGAATGTCGATAGATGATCTTGAATGCATTTGTCTTTTCTGCTGTCGATATAATGTACAAATGGATTACAGGATTTTCTGATGGCTCTGGTAGAGGAAAAGTGATGGATACTTCGATGACATAACCATTAGATTGAACAGCATGGTTCAAAGAGAATATCACCGTATCATTCATTATTTGATTCATTGCATCAAATTGACCAATGATGCCATAATTGTGACCTATTGAAAATAAAAATTGACCCACTGGTATTAAAAAAAAAGTCTTCGAAAAAATCTGTGTTTATTATGTTGGTTAGAGTTTGTCATAAGACCAAAGGCACATTCATGACGTAGTATCTCTTCCTGTTAGTGATATAAATTAAGGAACTATATAACGCCAACAAAAGATGAATCTTTTCTACTCAGTGGTTTCAAGTCGATTCTAAATCCAAAGAGAAATTGAAAATCCAAAGCAGCATCTCGATATGTATGCTATAGTCTCTATTGAAGCTTCGAAACTCATTAACAATTATATTTCACAAGAAAGTCTCATGAGACCGTAGCAGATTGGTAAAAAATTAAAAACATCTAAGTGGCCAAAGAAAAATTAATCATTGAATGTGAAAAAAGATTTTTAAATTACATGATGAAACATTAATTAGCATCTACTTATAGATATGAGAACGTAAACTCACCTTCACAATAGCTTACTTAATCTAATTGGGGTGTAGGTAGGTGTGGATCTTCTCTCAATCCATCCACACTTATTTTTTATTTTTAGAGAATGAGTGCTAGAAAACAAAAGCTCATTTTTTTACAAGCGATGCAAATTCTTGCGATTTTCCATAAATGAAAGTTAAAATCAACGAATACTATGGACATCAATGCTTTCTATAGTCTAATAGGATATTGCTCAATTGATATGAAATCAGTCATATCGAATTCCTTTGTGACTTTTGCTATAACTAAATACAGATCCACAGTTTCCACTAATCAAAAGAAGATAGTTGATATTGTTATTGAGAATGGATTTTCAACATTTCTTGTGATCAGTTCATTATTGAATTCAATTATTTATTAGAAAAAAATAAACTTCTTCAATTAGCATAAAAACGAGCTCGGTCGAATGTATATCGTACCAGAAGATAAAACTGCACTACAATTTTCAATGCGCCTTCTAGAAACGAGAATGGGAGCACGAAAGAAAAGACAGATTTTGTACTCCCGGGATTCTCATAGGATTTTCTTTGGATCCCCTGAATTCCCCTCGGATACTGGTTACATTTTTAGCATGATAAACTGTCTTATTATACTTCAATACCTTCATCTTAGTCTTAAAGACTTAAGTTAACTGAATTTTCATCATGACAGAAAGTGAAAAATGCAAAATTGAAAAACATGTGCAGTGAATACACCATATAGTGAAAATTAGATTTTCAAAATACTGAAAATGAAATAACACTTCTTCTTGCTAACGTTACATCCATAGAAGCAAATCAAAAGATGTACACTGTGTATGTGTGTGTTAACTAGGAAGCATTAGTGTTCTGCATGTTTTAGGCTATAATTTTTGCTGTTTTCTTATAAAACTTCTCATCATTATTTTAATTGCCTCGGACAGACACTCAAGTAAATTATTAAGCGCACAACAAGTATCCTCAGTGTCTAATTTTTCTTATGTATAATAGACAGCATCCCCATGCCCTCGTTTAGGATGGTTTGCATACATTCTTCAAATGACTCAGCAGGTTCTCTTCAACAAACTGAGTTTACGATCACTGAAAGAATGAAAGTATATGATGTTTTAATAAGACAAATCCGTATATTGGCAGCACTTGATTCATTTTTCTGGTATTTTCATAAAATTTTCTTAGTACTTCCACGACCCTATGGGGTTTCTAGGGATTTGGGATCTTGAGATCCGCCTTTTCTCCCTTGGATGGGAAAATTATTCTTAAATAACTTCGCTCTAGTACCTTCAAAGTTAAAAGTCTACAACAAATTCTTCTAGTCTATGAATCGAACCAGCTACTTATCGATGAAAACCGTTCAATGTTTTCTTTCAATTTGTGAATTTAATACCTACAATTATTCGCGAAAAACTTCTGTAAGTTAGTACAAATTCAAGCATTGAAGTGCAAAACAAACCTTGATCATTGGAATAAAATTTGATCGTATTTGGTTTAAAACAAGTTGCATAGTACATCTGGCGAATATCTCCTTTTTTATCGACAATGGGAAGCATTGCTGATCGATCATTTTCATTCTAGTGTACATGGAAACTCATCAAAAATAGTCTTAATCGAAATAAAACTTGTCTCACCAATTTTTTATATAAACCATCAGTAGTAATTATTCGACGCAATCGTTCGAATGATCTACTATCTTCAATGAATAATTCAATGAAATGTACATCATTTTGGTGCATTGTAAACATTAATGGCTTATCTAATTCTAAGAATGGCCAATTCATAGTACTCCGATGTTCGTATATATATTGTTTTACTCGTTCATATTTTTTACATGCGATAGCCAATATGAGATTGCTTGCTCTCTTTTCCCATGGATTTTCGGCTATTTGAACAGCTATTTTATGAAATATAGGAAATGATATGCAAAATAAAATGTTTTGATAAATATTAACTTACCATGATGATGTGCATTCAATATGACATCATCAAGTTGCGACTCTGGCTCATTTTCAGACAATGCAAATGAATTCAATAAAAAATAACCTTCTCTTGATTTCATCATTTCCGTGAATTGTCTTGTAATTCTAAAAAATTTGTGTAAGATAGTTTATATGAGCAGATAAAAATTCATTGTTCTTGAAACGAGAAAAAACTTTCAGAATTTCTCTTGTTTTCTTCTACTCTAACCCTTATCTACTAGATAAATATGTATCGATTTCAAGATAAATTAGTAGATTTTCGTTATCAATTACCCGTTTAATGGTTCTTGATTTGGGCCAAAAGTTTCTCTTAAGTGGCTAAAAACGAATAGTTACAGTTAGAAGATTTTAGATACAAAAATAAACATCAAATTTGACGTACTAATCATTAAATTGATGTTGTTGTCTGGCATTCTCATATTCATCTTCCGATCGAATTTGATTTTCACCATATAAATATCGATATTCGTGAACAATTAAATCTGCTACCCCACTAGTACCCTAAAATATTTATATGACGAAAGTGTCAAACTCGAACACACACATGTAAAATTACAGTAATAGCAATGACTGGTATTTTTCGTCTAATTGCTGTGCAGACACTTGTAATCGATGAAATATTGCCACCGATGAGAATTTGAACGATTGGAATGACATAAGCTATTTAAAAACAAATATTTACTATACATATATTTTATTGTCGAAGATTAACGTTCTTGATCTATTCAAAGATTTATCTATAGCATAGTCTATTTCTTAACAATACAATACAGATGTTAACTATCACTTTTTCCTCAAACAAAATGATTTTTTCAGCAAAGAGAGAATAAAAAGAAAGAGCATTAATCTCTGTAATTTGATGGTCAGAACTATGTAAAAAGATCCGTTAAATAAAAACTAGAGCAACCTGAAGTACGAGTAACGTAAACTAATAAATACTTTCGAACGATTTACTGATCGGATGGTCATTAACTCGAACATAGATTTGAAATGAAAAAGTAAAAGAAAAGATTGTGCCTTATGCTGAACTAGTTCACCGACGTTTTATCGGCGGTTTTTTGTTCACTTTGAATCCCATGCGTAATCACATAAAAATGCAGACCATATTTTGTTCTCGATGTTTCAATTACGAGTGCCTCAAATACGTTACTCGATGTACAAAAAAAAGAAGTAAATTTAAAAAAAGGTAAATTATTCAAAACTTTTTATCAAATTTAATTTTTGAATAGCAAGGAAGAGAAAATAGATTTTAGATTCGATTTTTCTCATGGTGTTTTCATACACTATTTCAACTATTTTAGTGGCTGTAAGGCGTTCGATCTAGTCGAACGACAATTTTTCAAATCGACTTAAGTCTTCGATTGATGAAGAACAAATGCTGAAAAATCTCTAGACTTTTTTTTTATTGTATTTCGATTTATTTGTCAAACATCTTACGTTGTCCGTATTTTGTATTTATTTGTAAATTTTCTTCAAATTCTGTTCGTAGTCTTAGGAGCCTATCGACGTCATCTTGAGGATAGACCGAATGGGGATCAACATTAAACATAAGAAAATGAGTATGATTATGATCCAACGGAAAAGTTCTTGATATTTCTTCGACTGGTAGTTGCCACGTGCGATAAAGTCGTTCACGCTTCTAAACACAAATCGTTTGCAGTGTTATTGACAGAATAAAACTACTCAATGTTATTTCACAATACTGGCTAGCTCAGAATGAATGCGACGATCCATAACAATGATATAAAAATGTTTTAAATTTTCGTTTCCAGATTTGAAATTTTCTTTTAAAATATTCATCATTCGATTTTCGAATAGAGTCATGCATCATAAGAACTTACACTGAATACATTTTGAAAAAAAAAAAGTGTTACTCTTCAAGATTTTTGTAAAACCGGTAAGAGTAAATTATCTCTTCGAACGTATTTAGTTCTCATGGTTTCCTATGTTAAGAATTTCAGTTCGATGGAAATAGCATGAAAGTAAAAGAACCTCCAGTAAGCAAAGACATGTCAAATAGAATAGTTGTAACACTGATAATTTATAATTCATGCTCAAAAACTGTTTACCAAATTTGGTATTGTAGTATGCCATTGTGCCAGTTGACTTTTATCTAAACATAGATATACATATATATATATATATATCAGAACAATGCACATTATGTAAAATAAAGGTAAAAATATACATGCTATAGAGTTCCAGTTGACAATTCCAATACATCGAATATTCTGTACAGCTTTTATGTTCTTATAACGAAGTTGATCAAATGCTAGACCTACTTCTTTTGCTACACCCAAATGTAAACCATTAGTGATTATCCAAGCATCTTCAATTAGAAAAAATGTTGATATACAATTTGAATATTATCTATAAACAATAATCATATACTCGTGTTTAACGCTGCCGATAGAATTCCTTGTTGAAACAATTTGCGTGTTTCAGTTGACACATTTTGAAAATATTCTTCTCCGCCCACCATTGATAGAATCAACTCTGGTGGCGACTGTTCATATATCTTGGGCAAAAAGTCATCAAATTCAATGTTTTCCCTCGACAAATTCATATCACCATCGACAACATTACGATGGTTTCCATCTGGAATTACAGCTAGATATCCCTCGCATTCGAATCGAACGTACTATAAGAACATAGAACATATAGAATTTAGAAAAGTTTTCAGTGTAATCCCTATGGGATTAAACCGTGAAATATAATACGGGCACTATAATCACATTTTAAGAGTCTGTCTACATTAATAATGATTCGTGGCATCATCGAAAAAACAGTCGACTTTGCAAATTTTCAAGTCAAACTATTTCTCATGAGTGAGCAGCTATGAGAAAGTATCGTTACCTCTACAAAATCTGTCGACGATAATTACATTCGAAACGTTTCTTCTCCTTCTGTTACAGTTCTAATAATTTGAGAGCATTGTTAGTATAACGCTTATCATCTCTAACTTATATTATTATTGCATTCACTTTAAACATGAATTGTAGGTGTAGGTGTGAGTGTTTCTTTGTTTGTTACTCACTCACACTCTCAGAGCGTACAAATGTGTTCGTCGAACAGTGGTCATTCTGGAAAAGAAACAAATCTGAGATTTCAACTTTGTGTCAATCGAAAGATAGCGATTGTTTTTTGTTTCATATAAGAAGTCAAAACTGGATAGGAAATGTTCTCAACATTTTCATAAAGGATGAATATGATTAACTAACTACTTCATCAAAAACATAATCTATTGAATCTTAATTGTTTATCTAAAAAAGAACATTTTTACAAAGCAGACTTACGCATGATTTGCGATGATTATTTGCAAAATGTATCATACCATAATCATTAGTTAAAGTGAATTTAGACTTTAGCAGTCGTCTACAAATAGTATATCATCGATATAAAGATTTCAATAACAAGATTTATAGAAAAAGTAATGATTAAGAATGACTATATCGAAAACAAACTAATTATATACATACAGATCGTTTTCTTCCATCAGTTCACGTCGATTTTGTATTTGCTAAAAACAAAACCAAAAATACTGCGTCATGATTTATCGAATGTGATATACCTGATTGGTCATTCTTGTGATTAAATCGGTTACGAACATCTTATCAATAGTTTTCGATTATTAATCTACAAAAAAAAAAGCTCATATGCACACTCAGATATTCTTGGTTATTACTGTTTACTATTCTTAGTCTCGATTCAAAAGTTCGAACATTGTTCCTTTAAATGGTAAAAAAACAAATGTGTTAGGAAGTTTCTGGTGTTAGGTACTAGTATTGCATCATATGTAACAGAATAAAAATATTAAATTATGTCTATCTCACAACATGAACACATTCTACTCAAGGTCTACGAATTGATGTGAAGCCCGAAAATATCTGAAATGAATCCAGGTTTTATGAAATCATCTGACTCTATACTTGAATTAAGACTGTGCCAAGAAAACCATCATTCTGGAAACTAGGAATCTTCATTTTTACATGTATGAACTACTTAGATCTTGTTCTCAAAGTATGAACTTCATGATATCAATATAAATAAAGCAATACGAAATAATAATGAACATTTCAAATTCTTTCCTATATAAAAAAAAACAAAACGAGATTATCATTGTCGATGAATCTGTAGTAATTTTGTATCTTATATCGATTGTAGCTCTATTTATTCACTGTCAGATCTATTCAATTATCAATTAAAATTATTCAAGAAATCTAGCAATAAAAGTCAACTCGACTGATTTCGATGATGGTTGAGAAAGAGAATTACTATTATACTGTATACGCATTTTTCAGCTTTGAATTAGTAAAATATTAATATTTGACAGCTGTGAATGTGATGGGCGAAGACGGAGAGCCGTTGCCATCGGCAACTGCATCGAATCCAAGAATTCGAAAACGACTGCAACTAAGTATGTAGTCATTGAAGAATATATCTCATGAAACGTGTAGGTGGACAATTATTCAATAATTCTCTTTCTATGCAATATCCTACTAATATTGCCTCATGATTCTTATCGTTTATTTACTTTTCTCTCGTTATTTATTTCTCAAGGTCTTTCTTTCTTTAAGTGATAGTGCTTGGCTGACATCCTCTTTCATATATTCAGGCATTCGATAATTGCTTTTTCGTACATTCTTCATGAAACCTCTTATGTATACTACTTCATGATTCAGTCAATTTCATTTCATGTTCTTCATATATTTCTTCAGTCGGCGTTTTTCTTTTACTCTAAATAACACTTATTGCATTGTCTTTTGTGTTTTCCTATCAATATTTATTTTGATCTTTGTTTTATGCAAAAAATAACTGTGTAAGAAATTCATAATCATACATCATATAAACTCTCGAATGCTAAAAATTGCTATTACTTTTGTCATTAATCGTACCATAGCTTGATCTTCTATGTAATTATGTCATAATTGCAGACATAGATGATAAAAAGAATTTTAGTCATGAAAGAATATTTTATGTTATAGTTAGTGAAACAGACACAGAAGAAAACCATATGCATTAAATGTCTTACACCAATCGATTTCTTCTGTAAATATTACAATTCTATTCTTGATCTTTTTTTTTCTCTACATATAATGTTCTCGTAGACTACGAAGATAACTTTTGAAATAAATAAATCTTAAATATTAGAATGAACATTACAATAATTAGAACTGTCGAATCAACATGGAAAAGTTATCTCTTGAAAAAAAAATATATCTCAAATGTATTAATAATAAAATGTAGATGTCGTTGAGACATATATTATAACATATACCTACCAAATAACTACATGTCAGTGGAAGCAATTATCACAGGAATAGAGAATCGATATCACTGTGAAGTAAATGACACAGTCGTCAAAACAGAACCGATCTGGTGATGTAAGAAGCAAAAACTAGAAAGGATAGAAAGAAAAAAAATATGTTATTTAGTCCCGACTATATACCAAGAAAGCTTTTTCTTCCTGTTGTAGAGAACATTGTTTTCTTCAAGGCATTAATATAATATCTCAGACCTATAAAATATATACTAGTGATAATTGTCAATTGACATTAGATAAAATTCGCACTCTATTAGGCAACGATATTTGATTTAGTTTAAAAAATAAATAAAACGGTCTTTGTTTCTTGATTCAGGTTTTTTTTTCAATGATTATATTGCTGTCTAACTCTAAATGACGTTCTACACAAAAAAGAAAAATCTCTTCTGCTACGCAGTCACGACTAAACAACGTTTTTTTTTTCTTCCTATGTTTTTGCGATTTTTCTTCCTTCATCACAAGATTGTTTCCATCTCCATCAGTCGTGTTTTTCATTTGACAATGATATTTATTCTCTATTTTTGTGGTGGTTGCTTCTATTTGTATTTAGTTAGTGAGTTCCAATATCAATTGCAACGACATCTACATTTTATTGTTAATACATTCACGATATATTTTTTGTTGAGACAACTTGTTCATTTATTTATTTCAGAAGGAAAAGGCAGAGCAATAGAAAAGAAAGCTATTACATTTACTGAAGAAATTAATTGGTGTAAGACATTTCATAGGTGTGCTGATATATATCAATTTGGTAGAATGAAAGAGATGTCGAAAACAAAGATGTTGAAAACATAGGCGGCGGAACAGTTCTAATATAGGGGAGGCTCAAAATTTGAACGGCAATGGAAGAGTGATATGAAGGGAAGAAGAGATTTTCTAGTTTTCGAAGCTATAACCCTTAGTAAAAAGAAACCGGGTGTTCCCGCATGTTTTCGGCAGAGTTCTTTTGTAAATATCTCTGCACGGGCAAATGATATAATTGTTAAGTTTTTGCAAAAGATACGCCGTTGAATTTGAGGGGCGCTCAGAATGTTTTTGTGATTTACTACATTCATTCATAGCATGGAATTTATCTATTTCATAGGATAGGATATAATTGAACTATACTTAAAACAATCATGGTCCGAAAGAGCGCATTCTCACCTTCAGCTGGTCGTTATTGAAGTCTTGCTGCCATTTCTCAGTCAGACACTTGTCTTTGCCTTAATTCCTTTCAGCTGACAATGATATGAATATTGGGAATTCTAGAAAAATTAAAAAAAAAAATCTGAAAAAAAAAGAATCCTAGAAGTTGTTGTTAAATTCTCTTCAACTATCTCACAGGTCCTGTTCACTCGTTCTAGCGAGCTTTTAGAAAAATAAAAGAAAAGACGTATCAAATGTTGCTACTTCCCATTATATTGGAAGTATTGAAAATATTTGTAACATTTTTTATTCATAACCTGATTTTTTTCTAAAGAAGCTCTTCACTTAATTTCTTCTAATTGATTTTGAGAGGGTAGAAGCAAAAATGTACGAGAAGCTATAATCTTTCACTTATATAAATTGGATTTGCTTTTCTATTCTAACAACTAATTACCTAACTGTTCTCTTTTTATTCTTGAAGGCGATTTTGGAATATGCAAAGAATCACTTTAGTAGTGTCTTCATGTGAATGGAGTACTGCCGTTTCCGGCCGGAAAATTGTAGAAACTTGAAAGCAGAAATACGATGCTCTGATCTGTTGATCAGATTTTTCTAGCTCCGACGAAGCCGACATGATTAGGCAGAGTGGGTCGCAGAATACCACTATCGGATCCCTGCTTCCAAGTTCCTACCATTTTGCGACCTAAAACGGCATTTTTTCGGTAGGTTTCAGCCAGAAATTCACGGAAGCCGGTGTCGGAATCATTGACATGAGTTACTGTGCCCAATAAAGTGCTTTTGTACAATAATCTTGATTTCGATAATGAGCATGCCATTGCTGCAGCTTTTAGTTCACTGTCATAGTGTCGAAATTACAGTATCTCGTACATCTTTATTTATTTCGCTCTCGAAATCGATTACAATAAACCAAGAAAACTGTTTTCCTAAATATTGTGAAGGATTTAACGATACATCTTCAAAAGACATTGAAATATTTATCATTTTTCTCTGCAAAAATAATTAAAAAAAATTGATATTATTTTCAATATATTTGTTATTCTCAATATAATAAGAAGTAGAAACTTTTCATACATCATTTGTTTCAGCTTTTTAAAAATTCACAATAATAAGTCAACAACATTTTTTTTGATATTGTTATTGTAGCGAACGCCGATAACGCATCTTTTGGAAAAAAATTCAAAGCTTCAGCTGTTGTTCATGCAAAGATATATATATATAAAATAAACTATGTTTATAACATTTTGGAACACCAGCATAAACTCAGAATGAGTCCGTGAAATTTTCTCAAATATTGAGCCTCCTCAAGCCTCACCTATTATTTTTTAGGGGAGGCTCAAGCCTCCCCAAGCCTAATGGCTCCGCCGCCTATGGTTGAAAATAATACTTTATACCATACAGTGTATTCTTTTTCTGTATTTGTTTCATTACTTATTTCATAAGCTGTTTGTTCACGATAAGAACTCTTTTTATCGTCCATATTTGCAATTATGATGTAATCATAAATTGCATAGAAAACAAGGATCTACCTAACCGATCCACAATTGATTGATTGAGTAACTGGCGTTGATAGATGTATCGGTTCCTTTTAGCTTCGAACGAGCTATGAAGTATACGTTTAATATTCTCAGTTCGAGACTATTTTTCTATTACCAGATACATGCACATAATGATTGTGGCTATTCGGACGAGAAGTGCAGGATGAAAATGTTAAATAGAGAACTGAGCATCGGTCTGAATGAACATGATTATGTTTCGATTTAGGCCAAAAAATTTTTTTTTTCTATGTATTGGCTAATGTAAGAAAAATCGAAAAATTGATAAAAGTATCCCAGTTCTTATTTACGTGATTTATGTCGACTATTTATTTCTAAGAATTCATTCAAGTGCACTCTGTTCGATGCCATATGAACAAGAAAGTTTAATTGGAAAATAGATTCTAATCACACAGTCAAATCATTCTAAAAAACGTGTGTTAATAGGCAATCAATTGTGATTTTTGGATGCCATTCAATATTTCTAAAAAGCAAATGATTGGTTTTGGTGCGAATGCAGGGAAGATACACTCATCAATACTCGTAGCCACACTCATCAATACTCGTAGCCACACTCATCAATACTCGTAGCCACACTCTAACTATGTAAACAGAATTGATTTCGATTTGAATGAATTTTTTTATGAAACGATCTGATCAACCTGCTTAATTACTATCTCTTTAATAGGTTTAGTAAATATTCTTTTTCATTTTTATACAATTATCTTATTGAAAAATCATTAAAATCTACGTCAAAGACTATTATATATTGAAATCCATTAAAATGTTTCATTATATTTTAAACTCAAATTTTGATTTACAATTTACGAAAATATAAATGAAAATGTTCTGAAACAATAAAGAAACATTTTGTAATGACTCGTAGTAATTGAGAACAATAGAAGCGTGTTTTATTATTTTTAAAAATACTTTTTTACCATCGATAAGGTTTTATAGTCAATCATAAGATTATGGAACGAGGCAGATAATTTTTTCTTTTGTAAAAAAAAACATTGTTCTGCACAGTCAATGTGCTCCAAACGAAGGTCAAGACGGATAAGATAAACAAATTTGATCAATGATAATGAATGTTGTTTATGTTTTTTGTGGTGTTGGAGTAATCAAATTTAATTTTTAGACACAGGTCAAATCTTTGGAAATTTTCATCAATAAGTGAAATTTTAATAGACATTGACTAGTAAAGTGTTGGAAGAAATCTTTAATAACTAACGTACGAATGATATTTTGTGGAACTCACATAAACTTTCGAAGAAAATAGTGAGTGTAAGTTTTCAGTTGAAGTTACCCAACTCCCTTCTTCATAAAAAAAATATGTTTATAATCAAATTTTTGCAAAAACAAATGCAAAAGCTCAAACAAAAAGATCTAGATGGACCGTTAAAGAAAAAGCTATTTCTACTAGATTGGACTGATCGTTTACTGTTATCAGTTCCAACTCTGCAATAAATGAATCTTTAGCATGATTCTCCCTTTTCTNAATATGGATGATTTGTTGCGGCTTATATCAACAGAACCACTCTTCGATACATTACGCCAATTACACATAACAATAGGTGATAGTGATTCCAACAAGCATTGTCCTGTGTCAATGTCTAATCTATCTATTCGAATGATTAATTTACATACATTTTCACTTGTTCAAACATTCTTCTCATTGTTAACAATTGAATGGACAGTTTTTGAAATACTGACATCTTCGAATGTTATGCCTGTTCTTCGACGTGCTAATGTATCTCTGTTTATTAATATTAATCATTTGAGTTGTATTAGTTCATCAGGAATCTTTAATGATCATCGTCATGTTGATGTTCATTTCGCATTTAATCTTCTTAATTGTCCTCAATATATCAAAGTGACACCATATATACCACGTGGAAATCGTTTTCATTCAAGAGAAATTTGTTGGTGCAACATTCCTTGTTAATCGCTAGTCTCTCAGATCAGAATGACTCATTGATAGTGATCTTTTTGTAAGTTATTGTTTGATTATGTTTTTGATCACCTTTTATTTCAAGATGAAATATGAAGGAAATGGTAATCATTATTCTTTACTTAATAATTTTGTTTTTATCTAACAATATGTCAATGTATTTCATATATTTATAGAGTCGTGGACATCATTATTATCATCATATGTGGTATACTCTTCCATAGACATTTGATGAATTCTTCCACGAATATATTCCATATAGATGGCTTAACAAAGTACAAGTGTTTGAAATACCTTCTCACTATCCTACGGCAATGAATCAATCATCACTTCGTACATCAGATGCAACAAGTCAAATTTTGCCAACACCTTTATCCTTTTTACCTCATGTGGCATTATCCAATTATGTTGAAACACTGCACTGGTCCTATTATAATAGACCTATTCATATATATTTATCCGCTCTTTGCGATATAACTCTTCTAAATAGTGTCAATTGTCTCAACTATTTTTCTTCATTTCCAACAACTATCCGTTCTATTCACATCCTTGTTTGTCATACTTTTCCGGACTGTATGTTACCAAATTGGTCAGTAATCTTACATTTTCTTTCAACTTTGCCAGAATTGAGTTCGTTACGAGTGTCTATATATGACTTATGAAAAACTATTGGTGACAAAAATTGTCAAATACTTGCAAAGGCAACATCATTGTTGAGAGATTTTGGTTTTTACTTTCGACGAAAATTCAGCTCATTAGATGATGATATTAAAGCTACATTTGAAGATCATACAGAATTTATTAAACAATTATGTAATCAAATACTCTTAATATGTCTTGATAAACAACTTTATTATTCAATCGAAGATGATAGTTGTGGACTCACAATGTGGTTCTAATTGATGAAAGTTTTCTCTATCCTATTACGTAAAAGAACTTCTCGATATTGTTATTTTCTGTTCATTTGTTGTATTCCTTTCTTTCTTTCCTTTGTAAATCTCAACTTCTTTAAATAGTCATCACGGCAGCGGTGCAGTAGTGATGGGTTTTTTAAAGGAGAATGCAAAAATGTATGAATCTGAACAGAAATTCAATGCCCGCAAGTATAAAACAATATGACTCAACGAATCTTATCGATTAGTAATAATAGTTCTAGGCCTAAAGAGTTACAGTGATAAAATTCACAACATTTTTCTTGTAACCATCGCAACAGCGCCACGATAGGTTTTTGTTTTTATCACCGCGGCGCTTTGGCGTTTTTTCTTTTATCGTCGCGGCTCGATAGCGGTCAGTTTTGCAACGCGATGAACATCTCTGGAGTACGGTCATCATCAGCACAAATAAGACATCATTTGTTGTTAATTTCAAGTTTTCTTTACTTACTCATTATATTTGTTTAGCAGAATTTATTTGATATTAAGATCAGTTATCAAGATATTTATATTTTGACTAATGGTTATATGCTGATTATATTTGTTATATGTTATAAAATTATGATTACTTTTGATGTTGTTGTGTTTGGTAAGATAGTTTATGTTATTGTAGCACTTTTCTATCTGTTGCTTTTATTTGAATAAAGTTTCATTCTAAATTATAAATGATATCTTATTGCTGGTGATGATCGTACTTGTAAAAGTCGAAAATTTCCATACAACGATCTATTCAATTTCAATCTGAATTCGGAAATAAAAAACGCAATCGATTTCCAACTGAAATAAGGGACTATGAGGACTTAAAAGTTATTCATCTTTGATATTCTACTTACCCACTCTATATTTTTCTAAAGAAGATGGGACTAGGGGAACCGGGAGAACTTCGTAATTATTCATTTCTGATATTCTTCCCTACTTAACCTATGGTCTCTCTTTTATCTAAGAAGTGAAACAGAGAGGACTAGATGGACTTAGTAATTATTCATTCCTACTATTTATCTCTACTATCTTGAGAGTTATTGTGAGCGTGTATTGCACTCATCAATCGCCCATGTTCGCCCATAAGCAGACGCACACTACCAAGATGAGTAGACAAGGATGAATATCAGAACTGAATAATTACGATATCCCCCTAGTACTCCTAGGAAGGTTTGCAATAAAAATTTAAAACAAAGCGTACCACAGTGTACAAAAATCAATTTTTTTATAATCTAAAAAGAGAAAAATAACGTTCATCTCTTTCTTTAAGGAGAAATTAAAATTGATACATGGTTAACAAATAAGCTATAGGCACCATAGACCAATATCGAGTCGCGTTGAATCTGACTCAAAGGACTCGACTTTTAAAGTACTGCTAATACATTTCTTAGCTGATTCTAAATTGGATTTAACCCCCATCCTGGGAACAATAATTTAATATAGGGAGGGACAAGACTTGTGATTTTTTTGTACGGTAGAGTTCACGTTACTTCTGCTGCTTTCGCTCTACAACCGCTCATGCCTCCATATGCTCATGTTTTTGACTCGTATGAATGCGATAATATTCCTCTTCGCCACCTTGTTTTCTATTTCGATCACTGCAGATAAAGACTGCCGCATTTTCGTTTTTTTAGTGGAAATTACAATTCTTTTCAAATTACTCAGTAGTACTTATTATAAAACGAGTTTTCGACATTCCGGTAAACTTACGTCAAAATCGTTAAACCTGACCCTTTTAAGATGAAGTTCCCAAAACAAATTATCTCAGCAATTTAATCTATAGAGAAACTAGAAAAATAATAGAAGCCACTAATTGTTGAAGCTCGAACATGTACAGATTGGTAGTTTGAGCGACGTGTAATGTGAGAAAATAAACAGTTATAATAACTTCTGTATGTAATTCTTAGTTCTCTCCGCAGTTGATAAATTCATCAACTTACATTTTTCTTAGTCAGCTGAGTTATGCCAATATAATTGAAGTAGTCATGGTAACTACACAATTACCATCTCCTATAAAGGCTCGCGCGGGTCGAACATAAAATAATTCTTGTTACATCATGAAATGTGTAATAGAATCATTTCTAATCTCTAAAAGAGCTAAAAACGATTAAAAAAGATGTTAATTTTCTAAATATCCTAATATCTTCTGCTCTAATTATTTTACTTTCTTGAGAGTTGATGGTAGGACGACTATAATGAAAATTCGTTTTTGAGTCGATGCTTGGTTACTCAACTCGAGTCGAGTGGAGTCATAACCTCTTGAAATGTAGGCGAAGTCGAGTTGAACCCATAGTTAGACTCTAAGCTGAGTCGAGTCGAATCTCTGTTTTTGTGATTCGTTTCGGTCTATGATAAGTACAAGTATAATTTCACCATGCGACACGTTTATAAGATAAAGTGAGGAGAAAAAATACGAGTTTAGATAACAAACACAAAAGAATATTACTACTCTTTTTTAATATGCAGCTTCTAAAAATTTGGAATCAAAGTGTATATTTCTTCAGCAAAGTGTAAAACAACGTGTACATTATAAGTAGTAGATGCTCTGTACACTTTGCTTCTGCTTGGTACACGTGCTATTTCAAATCTTGATTCTGATGGAGAACGAAAGCTATATATAATGTATTTGAAGGAAACAACGACCTGTGCAATATATGTGCAAACAATTAGAAATACAGCCATTGTATACGATATTATGATTTATAGAGTAATTCCAGATGTTTGGATTTTGATAAGTTATCAATATAGTTATTGTAACGTTTGCAATAGATGTTGCACACCATTATTTGTCTTATAGGTTGTTTAAAGTAATTTCAAAATAATTTTTCATTAAAATTTTATTATATATATAGTTCGATTCACATTGAATTTTATTCAATGAAGAATTTTAATCATAATATAGAGGAAAAAATCAACTAACGATCCATTTTATACGAAAGATATTCTGGCTTTCTATTTTTTATTTATTCATATTCTGTCTTACTGATTTTCTGTTAAATCCTTTTCTCGTAAAACATGGCTACTTCCTTTACTGCTGCTACTCATTCAATATCTGTTCATCCTGATCTTTATCGTGGAACAATGAATGATCTTTATTCATGTATCGTAAATTCTGAACATGGTTATTTAACTCAAGATGAACTTTTTCATTATTATCGGCAACAACTTGGAAATGCAGAAATACAATATCGTTTCTTAGGTTATTCATTATTACTTGATTTACTCAGTAGTGATTAAGGCCTATTTACTATTTATTTTCATTGTGGAATAGCTTATATCTATTTAACAAAATAAGGTAAATTTTTCGAAGAATAGAAACATTCGACATTCATTTGAACAATATAGCTTCAACATATACCACAACTAGTGCCCAGCGTGACCAAAATTCATTGTGGATGATCCCTGTAGAAAAACTACTACAGTTTACAGATAGAGGATATGTGACTATTTTAGTATCAGGGTCTATTCGTGACCAAGTTCTAGTCATGGTCACGACCGCTGTCATGATCACAATCATGGCCGTGACCGTGAATCCTGTGGTCACGCCGAGCGCTAACTACAACATGATCTAAAGCCACCGACACATTAGAAGACCCCCCTTGGACAAATGAAGCAAAAGACATATTAGGAGACCCCCTGATAAAATCGATTTTTTTACGAATAATTTCTGAAGTTTATTAACTTTTTTAGTATATAAGTCCATAATTGTATCGTAGGTCAGTATGAACAATATTTTGCTTCCTTTATGAAAATGATGCGCCAGGTCGAAGTGAAAAAAGTCTTGCGGAACAATGAATCGGAAACAACTATTTAGTAAAGAATGCATTTCTGTATAGANGACGGGCATATCAAGTTTTGACATTTTTTGAACCAAAAATAGTCACTTTTAGTAGATTTTTAAAAATCTTAGTTATATAATTTAGTATATTACAATATAAAAAAATAAAAAGATTTTCTACATGCATATCCAAATATTAAATAATAGATTAAACAGAAAACGAAAAACAGTCACTGTAAGTTTTACATTTATTCATCATCGATTTAGCTATAGAAAAATGCATCTTTGTTTTCATTGATAAGATCAGTCAAATAGAACAAAACAATATGTGTATATAAATACAAATACTCATATCTGAAAAAGAATAGCTATACTAGATATAGGGGTAGACAACTATGGAATATTCGTGTGCTCAATTGAATGATTTATCCGATGAAATTCTGATGATTATTTTCAGAAAATGTACAATATCGACGTACTCTACTCTTTACTAATGTCGAATATTTTTAAAAGTGCCAGCTACCATTTTTTTAATAACTCTTCACCGTCGATATATATCGAAATCAGGTTCTAGCCATTCGATCGAGTGGAGCGGGGAGCATCTGGTTGTATGCGAGTCATTGGGATTGGAAAACTTTTCTATATATCTTTGCCAACGAATATATTTTTCGATACATTACTTCCATAGTTTTCATAGCAACATAGGCTCACATTATACTAGAATGTAGTTCGACTCTTGCTTTATCCACCATAAAATTTTCACATCATTTGACTTTCTCCTTAAAGAGTTACAGGCTTTGTAAGATATCGAATAACATGATTTTTCACATGCTAAATGAAGATAAATTAGGCATGAAAGTACATATTTTCGATGGTATCAAAACTACTGACATGATCGTTTTCAACTGTGAAAGCTTCAAAACCATATCATCCTTATCTTGACTATTCACTTTGATAGCTATGAATAGTGAAAGATTAGGTTGGTTGTTGCAGCGGTTTCTTATCCCAAGTTTATTACAGTCTAATAATAAGTAAACTGAATTGATCATCTAAAGTGGTAGGTATATATAAATCAACTTGAACGTTGAAGAAAGTTCCAGATGATCATGGTCAGATCGAAAGAGAGAGATGGAGTAGTATAGAACAAGGAAGAGAAAATACACTTGGATAATTTAAACGCAAACGAAGAAAAGGTAAAAATATACAGTGGGTATGTTTAAGAGAAAATTGAACATCAGAGTTACGATAAATCAGAATAAATTCTCTTTTCTTCCTCTCAGACATGATACGTATGCCAATGTTCTTTTATTTCGGTTCTACGAAAAGAAACACGATCGACGGCTTGTTTCACTATTCATAGCTATCAAAGTGATATTACAACCAGGAGCCGCGAGAGGGAGGATTGTACTCCCCCTCTTCAATTGTAGGTCCTTCGCGCGGTCCCTGATTACAACATTCTGATGCGTCAGATTCTTGCTAGAAAAAAACCGACGCTGATCTTCGAAAGACACTAATATAGCGGAGAAATAGGTTCTTGGATTAGCACCGATATTTAGACAGTTATTTTCTGTTCTTTGACATAAAACGAAACTATTCTTTATTGGCAATGGTTAATGTGTGTGATTTACGTGTTTTTACTCAAAGAAAGAAAAAGAATTCAAATTTTTCTTCTTGAAAGAAACGAACGCAGCAGCTATGTATTGCCGCAGGAAAATGGTATTATGTTGGAAGAGACTAGGTCCATACTGATGGTAAATAATTATGTTAATACAATTAGATGTGCTGGATTCTACCTAAATAACTGTATCCATAATTTTTGTAGAAAGAGATTCAGTGAACTTCATTCCTTGGCATTAAATTAGATTGAATCCAAAATCTCAAAATGATTTTGTTAAAATCGATCGAAACGAAAGATATTTGCTTATTGATTTGCGCAAAAGCATAAACAAACGATATTCGTATTGGTAACTCCTCAGAGACAGACGTCGTTCAACTAAATCAATGACTGCCCAACATCGATAGATCCATTCTATTTCAATGATATCGTTTAAAAGGAGGCCATGATAATATACTGAGTTACTATCGATTTTTTGGCCTTGACTATGACTGTGTAATCTAACTTCGGGTGTAGGCGTAGATGTGTTTGTTTTCTGCACGTCTACATCCACATCAACCCTATATAAGCAATGATTTTTCTATTTCTCCATGCAGCTTAGCAGTCATTTTGAATGATTAACTGATGGCTTCCTGCATTAGCGGAGTTCACCAATCTAATGGTCGGCTAAGTCCATTTTACTACTAAATTAATCCTATTTTTACGATTTGGAATATAATTCGGTTACCTAATGATTATTCAGTGTAAGATCAAAAAACAACTTTAATATTAAATGATAATAAATTTTTGATATAACATTTTATCTTTGCTTTACTATTTCTTCTGAAGATATGAAAAATAGAATAACGTGCACTCACATATATATATATACCGATATTTTTTGTTGCCTCATTGTTAACTACGCATTACATTTCATTTTAAAGGTTGATAAATAAATAAAATAAATGATTAAGACAAGGATGTGAACATGGGCGAAAGAATGCACATCGCCCAGTTTTAGAAAATTTTCAGCTTTTTTCAGTCAAAGATCACATTGTGTATTACAAAGAAGAAGAGCATAAATTTAAAAAAAGAAAATTTAAGCACCATCCGTCACTTTTTTCTCTTCGGCATATTCCTTAATGAAAATAACAAAATGAAATTGAATAGAAAAAAGTGAAACATGAAAAAGAAAATTTATTTTTTAGATTTGAAATAAATGTCAAGAAAACAATCAGCATCTTTTGATTCTCAAAATGGAAACATAAAGCCGAATGTTATTCAAGTCAGATTTTATTTAAAAAAAAATTCTTTTTTTTTTCAATTTATAAATTAGATAAATGTTATATCACAAACAAGTGTGGATAACCATGCACCTAGTGATACTGAAACAAATATTGGTGATAATAAAACTTCATTATCATCAAAAAAAACTAATCTTCATCGAAATTTAAAAGAACGACATATGATTATGATTGCATTAGGTGGAACAATTGGCACTGGGCTATTTTTAGCTTCTGGTCAAGTATTAGCATCATCAGGACCTGCAGGTTCTCTTATTTCTTATGTTGTTGTTTCAATTATGGTTTATTTTGTTATGACAAGTTTAGGTTTGTTTAAACGTTAAACATATATTTTTATTTAGAATTTTTGAAAAATTTTTAGTTTCTAAAAATATTTCCTGAATTAATCTGCCCGTTAATTAGTTTTTGCCTTTTTACCCGAGTAATAGATTAAATAAAGTCTATAGTAGAATAGATCGAATTGTTTTAATTGCAATAAATAAATTGATATTAAAAGAACAAAATCATTTTCATCTGATATATTATTGAAAGCAAACGTTTCATTTGAAAATTTCTATTTTGAAGTCTTTTCTTTTCAATAGTAAAAAAATGAAGAAAGATTTTCATGGAAACTATTTAATAATAAAATGACAAGTTTTTTGTTTATTATTTTATGTTTGTTCGGAATATGAAGCCTTTTTTTTCTATATAAATTAATATTTAACAAGAAAAACTTTGAAATAGAATTTGATTTTCGATAATTTTATAATTCGACGGTTCTATTATTGATATTTATATTTTAAGACTAAAAGTATTTTTAATAAAATTTTTGATAAACTTATTTTTTGATATTGTCAAAAAATTCTTAAAGCACATAAATTTCAATGAGAAAGATCTTATTCATCATATGGATTAAATTATCGATGAATTTAATGACAATTTTCTGATGTTTTACTTATTTAAAGTGAAATTTTTAGATTTTGTTTTGATGAATTTTCAATAATTAAAAGAATATTTCTCTGTGAATTTAAAATCAACTAATTTTATATTTACGAAAAAAAACAATCAGTATTGATTAATATTATCGAAATAATCTTTAGAGATTAAAAAAAAAATGATCGATTTTTTTATTTAAAAAAAAAGATTTTTTGATTAAACCAACATGTAAAAAATCTTAGAAGAACATATTGACTGGAGAAAATTAAAATTAATCAACTAAAATTACAACTTAATGCTCTTTATAACAACGTATTGATAATTTTGTATTTTTATTTTGACTTGAACTTATTTAAATGAGAGCAAAAGATTAATGAAAGACAAAAGTGATGGATCTACACAATTTATCATATTTTTCACACTCATATTTTGATAAAAACAGACTCTATCAAAACCAAACGTTCTAGCCTAGTGTAAATGATGATTTCCTACAAAATGATATATCTGAAAGACTAGCATGTCAAAATTATCTCACAGTAGACAGTTTCTATAGAGTAGGTCAACATTATTTATATTCTGTCAAAAACATTTTTTTTGTCCATAGATATATTAATTTCTAGTACTCAATAGAAAGATTGATGAGAAGAAAATGAAGTTTGTCAAAGAAGATTTTCAGTGTAAAATACATGAGGAGATCCTGATGTGATAATAGGAAAGAGTTCAGTCTTGAAGTCTTATGTAGTCTTCTGAAATCCTGCCGGGTCTTTTAAAATCTTATCAAATATGTTAAAGTCCTGTGAATTTCTACGAAATTTTAGAAGCTTTTTGAAGTCTTGGAGCTGTTGTTTTTAATCCATGATGAAGTCTTTTGAAATCTAGTGAAGTTTATGATTTTTCTTTGAAAGTACTTCTAAGACAAAAGAATGCAAAAAACCTGTATTTCAGTCCAGAAGTATTTATGCATCTTTATACTAACTGAGTAGACGTGTTGGGCAGAAGAAAATATTCTATGCAAGTTTTAACAAATTTGAAACTATGGCTGAATGTGCACACCGACCACATTGAACATCAGCTTTTAGAAGAGTAAGAAGAATACTCTGCTTTCGACGACTTTTGCCATATAGATTGCTGTCTAGAGACAGTTTCGATATCCCAGTATTCATCCTACAACTATTACTAGCTGTAGCCTTGGACAGAAAATCGACTTGAATCAGAGGTGTTCGGCTTAATCACTTAAGCTCTCCGTCCATACTGACTGATAGCATATTGACAAGACACGTTCTCCTAAGACTTATTATTATGTTGCTTATATTTGATCAATTTTAAATAATTTCAAAATTAAAATAGCTGAACTATCAACACAATATTCAATAAGTGGCTCATTTAACACATATGCAAGTCGTTTTGTCGATGAAGCATTTGGTTTTGCATTAGGTTATAATTATTATTTTACTGGTGTCATAGTAATTGCTGGTGAGTTAGTGGCCGCTGAAATTATTGTACAATTTTGGTTACCACATTTTCCAACTATTATTTGGCCTCTATTAGGAATGATAATAATATTTATATTAAACGTATTCACAGTAAAAAGTTATCGAGAAGCAGAATATTGGTTTGCCATGATTAAAGTTCTTACTGTTATTATATTTATAATAGTCGGTTTATTAGTTGATATAGGTGTACTTGGACATGTTAAAATTGGATTTCATAATTGGAAAATAGATGGTGCACCTTTTTATAGAGGTATAGATGGAATTGTTACTAGTTCAATTGTTGCAGGTTTTGCATTTGGTATAAGTTTATTTTTATTTTAATTATAATTTTCAAGTTGATAAATTTTCTAGGGTACAGAAGCCGTTGGTATAACAGCAGGTGAAAGTGCAAATCCTCGTCGTGATGTTCCACGTGCATTGAATGGAACTATTTGGCGTATTATTTTGTTTTTTGTTGGATCAATTGTGATAATGGGTCTAGTTATTCCATATAATGATCCTAGTTTAGCTCATAGTGATGCTAAAAATGTAGCTGTATCACCATTTACACTTGTTTTTGTTAAATCAGGTATCAAACCAGCCGTACATATCATGAATGCAGTTATACTAACAACAATATTATCAGCTGGAAATTCAAGTCTTTATATATGTACACGTATTTTATATGCTTTAGCTAATGAAGGAAAAGCTCCAAAACAATTTACTTATGTGAATCGACATGGTATTCCAATATGGTGTCTTGTATTTACAGCATTTTTATCAACAATATTATTTGGTTTATCATTTATTGGTAATAAAATAATTTATCGATGGTTAGTTAATATAACAGGTGTAATGGGTTTCATAGCTTGGTTTGGAATATCATTAGCTCATTGGAGATTTCGTCGAGCATTTATTTTACAAGTTTATTCATTAAATGATCTTGTTTATAAAGCATTATTTTTTCCAATTGGACCAATAATAGCATCATTATTAATATGTATATTTGTTTTAGGACAAGGTTATTCGGCATCTACAACACATCCATTTAATTTTAGTAATTTCTTAGCTGCTTATATAACCATACCTGTTTTTTTAATAGTTTTTTTAGTTTATAAATTTGTTAAAAAGACACGTTTTATACCTTTGAGAGAAATTGATCTTGTAACTGATAGTATTATGTTTCATCAAACAAAACAAACATCTAATATTTAAAATTTCTGGTTTGTTTTTGAAGAAAGTAAATTATTTTAATAAAACTATAAAATGATCAAGATTAATTAAAAAGAAGAAATTTATTATATTTCAATAAAATCTATATACATAGAAATTTTATTTAAAAGATGAATTTTCACCAATCGGAAAACAGCAGACTTGAAAGCGTCAAACACAATTTCAGTATCTTATTGCATAACAGCTAATACTAAACAGGTCATATCATGTGCCTTAAAAAAGAGGTTTAGCAGTTGTTTTCATAGGAATTTATCTATTTAATGCGACATATTTCAATTATGTACAAGAAAAAAGTCTAGTGGTGGCAGCGTGTGAGTGTGGGAGTTAATGTACTAATAAATTTTTTTTTGTGTTTACAACCACATCCGCTTGTTTATGGGAGTCGACTCAAACTATTTCCGCATATATTGGAGGTCGATAAGATTAATGTTCTTAATCGAATTACACTTCTCCATCGTCAGATTTAGCCAAAGGCAAGAGAGGATTAAAATTACCCTAAAATATTGTAGAATACTTTTGTTTTCGAAGTGCGTAACTATCCTCTCGATTTTGTGAAAAGTGTATCACAAGAGGACAAAACTTCATTCAGACATATCGAATCATTCCCCTTCCATTCTGAAGCGTTCCCATTTATTTTCAATTTTTACAAGTGACTGTATTGGCTTTGTGGCAGAAATGTGGATCTCACATTAACTACTTAGCTTCATTAAACTAAGTCAAAATGCGTAAAGTGAAAGCTCTCATAGATTATAGTTGTTTTTCAAAACAATCCATCGTTGTAGCAAGGGTCTTTCTTATTTATTTTCGCAAGTCAAACAGAATTTTTTGGGTGTGGGTGTGGAGTGTGGGTGTGATGCATGTGCCAAAGATGATAATATTGCTGCACCCACATCCCACACACACCCACACCCACACCCACACTCTATACATATACACAAAGAAGACAAGACACGAAGTATCTCTTAACGTATATGTATGCACAGACGACTAATCACATGGCAAGATGAGGAAAAAACGAAAAAAGATAAGAGAAAAACAAGGAAAAAACGAAAAAAAAAGCATGCAAGAATGATGATATAATGTAATGCAACCAGCTAGCTTCCGACAAAAACAGTTCTTACCAAGGTTTTTTTATTCTAATATTGAGTGAGGATCGATCAAATAGCATAGGAAGATACAGCGAAAGACGCTCTATCTATTCATAAAAAAAAATAATTTTGTTTTTGCTTACTGTAAGAAAATAAGATCTTGACGACACTACTTTTGGAGTGACCTAAGTAGGATGGACTTTAGAACAAATTGGTGAAGAACTATTCCGAAGCTCTGAAGTTTTTCACTAGAAATCTCAAATTTTAAGTCATGGAAATGTAGAAGGCTTTCAAGTGCGACTTTGTTTATCAATATGAGCAATAGTGCTCAAGTTGACAATGCCAATCGGTATTCTTTAGAAATGCTTAGACATCTCAGAACAGCCGAAAATGCATGGAAACTGATGGCTACAAGATCTCGTCTGGTGTTCTGTTGTCATCCCTGCAGATTATGTCATGAAGCTCCCTTCATTAGTATCCCTCTCTGCTATTATTTTTCTGATTGTTTGTTTAGTTTTTGTTACCGCTTCTTGTTATTTCGTTCGTAGTGTTCTATGGTATCATTATAAGTGCAAAGAAAATCGATAGCAAGATTTCATTTAAAAAATGTAATATAATGACTGGCTTGCCTTTCAAGACACATCAATAGTAATTAATATAAGCGAAGATCATCATAAGGCATAGTGTATCGTCTATTGATAAAGTCGGATCATTTCTGAGTATTACTTTTAAGAATAGTGCGGCAGTATTGAAGAGAAAGGTTTGAGTTGACATTAGTTTGTCTACGATAATGTTCGTAGGTCCTAATCACAAAGGTCATGTCTAAGATAAAAAATGAATTTTGGTTAGGCGCGATAGTCTTTCATATCGATGATCATTGATCAAATATTGAATTTACAATTAAAAACATCGCATGATTTTACATAGCTACAAACTCGAAGCACACATCCCTAACAATGACTAAATATCACCAAAATCCAAGATACTACCACCAAATATGTACTTTATCTTGAAAAAGTTCAATGGAATAGTTCGCAAATAATTTCTCATGATCGATCATTACTTGCAATTTTTCAACCATTTCCGGCGTTCCATACCACAAGTAGAGAGAGAAGTGATGATGACGACGAGCGTCGCTGAAGACTGTTGCAGATAAGGATCGTATTATGAACTCCATATTGTCTTCGATTATGGCCACTTCGAGAATTTCTATGCAAGGAAAGAGTCCAACGAACAGTTGCATATCTTCACTTGTGCATGGACGACGACCGTACATGACGACCAGTTGAATAATATTGTGGAACGTTGTACGAGTCTTTTTCGCTTTTCTTGCTGACCGAACAAGTGTTTTCGCGTCAATTTCTAATGAATGAACATTTGATAAATTGCGTAAGAGCCCAAGAACTGAGAAAATACCAAGATGTCTACATTGAATATTTAACTCTGTTATTTGTTTGGATGAAATCATCCGATTGAAATTTTCAATAAATATAAACGAAGGTAATGCCTTGTGTCCATTTGGACATTTGAGTGTGATTTTACTGATGTATGGAAATCGAATTGTACAATTGACAATCGCCTGCTCACTTTCAATCTCAAGATGACGAACAGAAATGAGTTCAGTATCTGAACGTGTGCATTTCGAATCAGGTTCGAATTCATATAATTTATAATTTTTCTTCCTAAAAGAGTAAATCAATGTCATAATCAGAGAAATCTTTTTCATCCTATACCTGTAAGGCTCAACTGAATAGAACATTGAACAGTCTTCTTGTCTTCCAATCTTAATATGTCGATGAGCAAAGATCCATTGTCGTTCGAGCCAGAATAGTCCCGTGAACCGTTCAATTTGCGTATGATACTCCTTAAGTTTATTATCGTCATCATAATGCACGAAGTCCAAATGATGAAAGCGGAATATTTTCAAGTATGACATATGACGTAAAATCAATCGTTCCCAACGATCAGCATTTAAGTACTCATGTGTCTTCATTAAGTAATATCTGTCATCACTTGTTGAAATACGCAACACCTGTAGCAGAGTGAAAAATTGACTCAGAGCCATTTCGAATTGATCAAACGGTACATTCCACAGTTTGAGAGAGACATGAGTTAACTTGAATTGCACCATCGGTAATTCTGTCAATGGATGCTTACATGCAAACAGTTTATCACATGACAGATGACGAAGTCGAGGCGTGTAGGATAGAATAGCAATCAGATTGTCAAGATGATAGAAACTACTCAAAATAAGATGTTCGATGAGGTTGCTCGGCTGTTGTTTGAGACAGTACGACGGTGAATTGTTCCCACCATACTGATTCAATGAAAATTTGTCAAATTTCAATGCTGGCAATTGGAAAATCAGTGGATAGACGATATCTTCTTCATATATACTTTCAGAAGTAGTGACAGTCAAAGAGATGAGACAAGGCAGGGAAGCTAGACAGGTGAGAAGAGGTACGAGTACATCGGATTTCATGTCATTCAAGGTAAGTGATTTGAGAAAACCGTATGATGCATCGAAACCAAAGGACGGAAGAATGAGATCCATACTGCATGGATTTGATAGAGAAAGTGCGATTATTCGATGAAAGTTAGGCTTGACAATCGACAGAAAACGATGTTGAAAATCTGATTTCGATGAAAATGAGAAATGAAGTTTGAGTGGAAGCGATGACGAATTAAGAAGATATTCGAAACGAGTATTGAGATTCGAAAAAGCTTCATATGCATGGCAGCCCCCGAGATAGTCGAGAATTTCATAGAACAGTTCATTTGATAGATCTTCAAACTGACTGATGAATAATCTACTCGAGATCAGGGAAAAAAGACATGAGAAGAAAAATAATGATTGAATGATCGTTGACTGACCGTTGCCGTTCTCTACGTTTTGACTCTACCAAATCCATTTGATGTTCGATCCAATTCATGCGCACAACTGCAATCTGCACAACAAACAGGAGACCAAATGATTGAACACTGATCTAACACAATTATATTGATAACAACTAGCAACCGATTAATCTGCACCAACACCTTACGATTCTACCTTGTAGTCACCAATATTAACAATAATTCTATTGAAAGATAAGAAAAAATCCTATTTGATATGAAAAAAAGACGCTTTTCAAAAGATCTTTTTTTGGAAAAATCACTGCTTGAACCATCTTATACGTTTTTGTTTTGAAGAAGGGACAAATCAATGTCATTTTAATGAACAATCACTAATTTCTATTATTTTTCGTCTTATTCTCAGAACGAAAAACGATTTTTTTTCTTGAGAAGACGGATGAAAGTGTTCAAATCACCATATCATACCTATGAGTTAGTGTTTTTGGCAACAAAATTGGAATAATTCTTTTTAAAAATTTTCGGTTAAAAATACATACAAAAAAATCGGTTATATTGAATAACATATTATTTGAAATCATATGCAATTGTAGGAATAATTCTATCTTTGTGTATTGTTATTTTATAGATAAGAAGGCTTTTACTAGAATATGCGTAGACAAAAATCTGTCCTATTCTGTATGCATGCTGTCACATGGCACAGGAACAAACAGAAATGAGAAAAATAAGCGGATATTGGGTAATATCTCCATAGACTATGTATTGCTACTGGTTGATGAGAAGAAAAATACGACGAGAAAGGAAAAAGTCGAAAGAAATTGCAACCTATGCAGAATGGAAAAAAAAACAAGGAAAAAAATGCAAGAATATAAATGAACAGAACATTGAATAAATACTTCTCTGAATACAATAACTGTTAGTGAGTACACATAATTGCTGAGGATCAAAGTGTTCGAACACTGTTCACAATTTATATTCGTGACCGTTCGATAGTTAAAATCAACTTCCATCTTTATGAAAGAAAATTTTTCAGAAGTATGAAAAAAAGGCATTTTCAAAACGCTTATTATTATGAGAAAACGTCAGCAGTTTTCGACAATATTTAAATTTTAGACTTTACTTAAATAGTTGACGAAAGATGATAATAGTGAGAAACACTTTCATCGACAATTCAGACAACTCTATCACTCAAATTCAGAACCAAGTTGATAGAGTTCAAACGCGTCATATATCCATCTAAAACTACTACTTGTATACATGTTTGATTTCAGCTTAAATACTACAGTATTCTGTAGTCAATGAGGATCGCACATCGATGCCAAAGCAGCTATTTTATGAAACTTTTATTTATGACATGTTGCCGCAACAAAAAACACAAAACGACATAAAACTTTGATTGAACATGATTTATTATATTGATTATTAGATAACTTTGCTACAGATTAAAATATTCATTTGTCATTTTCTCTCGATCTCAGATATTCTATTTCGTCAATTAATTGTTGGTATGCCATGTCAAATGTTGTCCTAGTAAAATTAATAGAAGTTAATTTTGCTGTTAAAAGATTTCATCAATCAAATGGCTTAAAACCATTGGAGACTCGAATCAGTAATATTAAACGGTCACGTTTTGCTGCATAGGTTGCTTCACTATAATATGTATTACTCCTCTGATAAGTATTTGAGAGCAAGAAGACGAAAATTTCTGATGATTGAACACTACATGCCATAGCGTTAAGAGCATGATCAGTAGTATATCATTTGTCAATCCAAACAGAAAAACTATCGGATATCAGACGTTCGTCGAGTTCGTATATCAATTTTCGATCGGCATACTCATAATTAAGCATAATATCGACTTTGAATCGACGAGAACTGGTACTTACAGCATTTGGCACTTCTATACATACTGATAGATCGAGTGATTCGGTTTTTGTCACATTTTTATCAAGTTCATTGATGTCGTGGCTGTGGATGAGTGTGGGTATATGGGAGCTTTGATTTAGTTTTTATGCTGTTCTGCATATACAGAGACACCCGCGCATCCATAACCCAGAAACTCGCCGTCTATATGTTTTGTCCGTCATGATTTCCTTTTTTGTCACTGTGCTCAACAAATGTTATCTTTCAAGTGATAGTGAAATGATATGAATAATGACATATGCCATTAAGAAAAGAAATTAATTTGAAATTCAAGTGCAATATATTCTGTTTTATGATTAATTCAGTGTAATTAGCGGGAAATTTCGATTGTATTTCTTTTAATTGAATAATGTGAAGGTCATTTCCTTGATTAAGACAGCCCTTAATTTCAAATTGACGAGCAGGAAGTAGCAAAACATCGTTTTCTTCATCATAAAATGAATGTGATCGCATATTTTTATTTGAATCACATTTAATGCTGTAGACAGTTCTTATTCCTTCTGCTCCCAAGAAACGTTCATTCTGAAATCTTTCAATAGACGAAGTACACGAAGAGAAATCCCACAAAACGATTGTCCTCCATTGAGAATATTCTGTAGAAAAATTTGATTTAACACCTCGATAAACAATGTGATGAGTTGATGGAAGTTTTTGAAGAGCATTGATGATAAGTCGAAGATATGAAAACCATGGTTTTAGCTTTTCGCGAACGCTTGCTCATAAACTACTGTTTAGTGTCACATAGAAAGATTTCTCGTATGGTTGCCATTCCATTGTATAAAGTATGATAGATGCAGACTCATCAATGGTTAAACCATCTTTTGAATTTATGCAATTCTGTTTAGCAATCCAAGCCATTTGTTCGACATCGGGCACGAGTGAGATAAGAGGATAGATTGTCTCTCGAAGAGAAATCAGAACTGTTTTTCCGAACCGTTGGATTGGTAAAAGCATTCGTCGTGGTTCGCCAGTAATATCACAGAATCGATGATTATGATTTTATTCATCAGTCTTCTTGTCAAGTATCGTACAAGAAGTTGGATCTAAAATGAAAATATATCTGTCTTATAAGTTATCTGCTAAACATCTATGTGACAATAAACATTATTGGTTTAGGATAGATCTTTACGATCTCGACTACATGATGGTTTTTGATTTTCATTTGTATCACCTAAACTTTGTAAAGTTTTTCGAACAACTTCATTATTATCAACATTTGAATTGATTGCTTCGGCAAGAGCTTGTAATAAAAGATTTGTTTTATCCGCTTGCAGATCAGCTACAATAATAGAAACACATACATTAGGTAGTCTATTAACAGCAATATCTAAATCAATAAAAAAAGAAAACTTTCTTTTCTATACCATTTTCAATAAATTTCGTAGTTACAAACAGCAGTAACTAGTTTTTTTTTATAAATAATGTTTTATTTTCTCGACCTTTTTGAAGATAGGCTGCTGAAAGTTCTTCATTTGTATATAATTCTTGAAGAAAATTTGTTTTATTTACAACCTAAATAATTTTTATGGATTAAAAACATGACTATATCGGATGACTAACATACTGCTTTAACAATATCTTGCAAAAATTGCAGCGGTAGTCGATTAAGGAGTTTATTATTCAATACTGGTGCATTAATTATTTGACCAAGCGTATCTTGAGTACGCTTATATAATATCTGGATCTACAGCAGCTTCACTCATTTCTATTTAATATAGAATATGTGAAGGATGCGGGGTGTGGGTGTGGATGAATATCAAAGTCAGGTACCCACCCACACCCACACCCATATCCAAATCATGGTCTAAGAAAAACAGTAAATAGGTAAAAATAATATTTGTTTTTACTCGAATGGAGAAATAAATAGCATATAGATAATATATTGAAGTAGAGTATTTAAAAATCACACAAAAGATAACGTAAGCTAGAAAAAGTGGTAAAAGGTCGAATGAGAAATGTCGAAAATTGTAAACTCTTTATAAATCCAAGGTGAAACAATTTTTCTAAGATTTTATGAATAGAATTTATATATGGTACACATGCGCATAGCACAAAAGTGAGGATACGGGTGAATCTTGCGACCTAAAAGGATTTGAGTTTTCGACATTCTGATTTCGACCTTTAGCCACCGAATTTTTAAGCTAAGATCATGAGATGTGCTTAAATTATACAAGAATGTCTATTTCATATTGATGCAAATAAATACGCAGCATTTTCAAAACTAAATTAACTGTTAACCAAAAGCAAGAATTGTCTGATAAAGACGGTAATAGACTGAAAATTCCTTTCGGAAGTTTTTTAAAATTTTACTTGCTTTTCCAAAATTCATATATATATATATATATTTAGAGAGGACGTTTCGATGCATCTTCCTCTGATAAATAATGCATCATCGATTATTGTTTGATAGTAGAGATTTTCTGAAGGCAGGAGGGGCTCAATATTTGCCTTCTCTCTTCCAAAGCTCTCCTATTTATACTTGAAATACATTCATTTATGATTCAACTAGCCGAAACTTCCAGTGGTCATTTTTCAAATTATAGAGTTGTGAATACTACTGAAAATTTTGTGACAATAGTCCAATAGTGATTCTTCATTATTAAAATTTTATTTCTTTTTAAGGTAAATACCTATGACGTCTTCCAAATCAGAAAGATGTCAGAAGTCTCTTTGGATTTGTTTGCTAAAAAGCTCTTAACAATATGAAACACAACTTGACACTGCTTATTCTACTCTAAAACGTCATTTATCTTAATGGTGCCCTACACTACAGGATAGAGTAAGGTTACCCTACAGGACTCGAGTAGGTCGCGTAATGAGGGTATGCATGTGGGTGTGAATTGAAGAGGGACTCACACCCACCCGCACCCGCATCCTGAAGCACCAAGTCTAATATTCAATAAAGAACATGAAGAATTGAGAATTTCTTGAAAACTATAATTGAGATTTGAAAATGCTTCAACGATTTCATTACCATATAGATAATCAAATATTTCATAGAAAAATTCATTTGACACATCTTTAATAGAAGTTTTTAATCGATTAAAGTCAACTATTTATATGAAAATACGAAAAAAAAGTTTATATTTCATTATTAGTCGAATAACTTACTTCGTAATTTCTTTGTTTCTTCTTTTGATGATTGATTAAAGGTTAATTTTTGTTTTACTTGATCTATAGGTGTGTTTTAAAAATTGTAAATTAAATAAAATATTAACTATTATTATTTTCTATAAGAAATATTTAATTGTATTATTTTATATTTAAATGAATTAAATAACATTATTTTTATTATGTCGAATAACTAACACAAAATTTTTAAGTTTAATAAAATATTTATCTTGAACAGTATAACAAACTGATAAAGTAACTCGTTTTTCTTTTTTTGAGTGGGAAAATCCTTTCGTCAATTCAGTCATATTTAACTAACAGAATAGAGAAGAAAAATGAAACGATTAATCGTTTAAGATCAATATTCTAATGAAGAGGTCACAGAGAGAAGAGACAGAATGGACATCGTCCCGCTTCGTCAGCAAGAATATCGCCTACTTCATGGACAAAAAATTTTCTTCGTTTTGATAAACTGCAGTCTAATAACTAAACGTTTGGTTGATATGTTAAGCCTCAATTAATTAATTACATGATACATATTTGTGTTTTTCTAGAAAACGATAGAGACATCATAGAACTGAGTCATTGTTAGTGTTTTGTAGGTGATGATACAGCTGACTAATGATATATCCGTAAGATGATTAGAAAATAGTTTTGAACAGATGAAATCGATGTATCCTAATGACAAAAGAACTAAAATACCTTAGAGATTTCTTTATCATTTCGTTTATTTGACTTACCTGTGGAAATTCGAATGAAAAATAATATTTTTTTCTGAAAGAGAGGACTTATTAATTTAATTTATGGTCATGTCAAGGGTTTGTTGACATTAAAGGAGTGTCTCCCTAAGATTAGCAAAAAAATCGTAGAAAAAGTTCCATTTGATTGAGCTGTTAATAGCAATGAAAGTTCATCTTCATCATTGTGCTTTTTATTTTATCAAGTTACTCTTTTATTACATTGGATTTTGTTGAATTTTGTTTCAAAGTAAATCGAAAATGCTGCTATTCATCAAATAGTGACTATTGATGTTCTTTATTCGTTGCGCTGTAACATGTTGACCAGATGCTTAATTATTACATTGTAGTCTATTAAAGGAAGAAAAAGTTATCGACAAAACGATAAAAAGTTTTTCATCGATCAACTGCGAAATTTCTCTGATTGATCTTAACTAATCGGTAAATATGCTCTTCGGCGAAACTTATATCGTCGAATCAAAGAGTATTGAAAAGCTCATTTATAAGAAATTAGGACGTCTATATTGATAACCTCTATTTAGATAATATTCATTTCGGCGATCCTTTTTTCGATAATGTTGATTTCGGCGATGAGGTACACAACCGATTTTTCACGTGATTCCAATATGTTAATCTTTGGTAAAGAAGAGAACATCTTACAAACAAACAACTGAATTCATAAGAAACTCTTTCATTGAGTAATTCATTTGAATACAGACTTTGATGATCGATGACTCGAGTCGAGTTTATTGACATTGAACGGTGTAAGTGTAGTTCTTCTCGTCGTAAACGCACACCAGAGATGCTGGTCGGGATATTTTTCGACTCGATCCTCTTGACCGGTTGAAAGATTCTTTTCGTCAACCTGCGGATTTACTTAAAAAAATCATTATTTCTTCAACTAAACATTAGAGACAAGAAATAGTAAAGTAAAAGTTCTGATGCACGATCAGAAATAAAATATTTAGATAGTAGATGCTAGTGGTGCGTATTTTGGGTGTGGTTTTTGTTCTCATGCAGATCCTATTATCAAATCTAAAGAGAACAGTGCAATTATAACTGATGATACAAAAATTCTGCTATGGCTTTGTTTTTGATAGATTACTTTGATAGAATATCGCACATTGATTTTTTTTTATTAGAAATAGCAAACTACGGAATTCAAAAATTCATGAGAATTCAATTGAAATTTTTGTTTTTCAAAGATTAGAAATATTCTAAAAACAAACTTTGAAAAGCTCTTCTGCAGCTTTGGTCATAATGTTTTCATCGAAATTCATTTCTGGAAGCTTTTTGTATTATCAACTATTCAACTTTTCAAATATTGCTATTAAAACATTTGCTTTGGTCGCTTCAGATTTTACAAAGCCATACAAATATTTAGCTGAATATCTTGCGTAGAAAATTTCTATTTTGTTATAAATAAAATCGTTTGGTAGATGACTCACTAGTCTACCTTTATCATACAAAATTAATAGCAGCTAATGACCTCACTTTCATAACAGACATCAGCTTTTCCATTTTAACCAACAGAAATGAAAACCACTTTCGATTCGACTTTAACCGCGACATCTTTGATTGCGATTGATTAATTTAAGACATATTTCAAAACCTTTTAGACATGAAAGATACAAAAAATGCGCTGTCAGTATTGTATAGCTCTTCTCCTTTTTCTACACGTAATCAAGTTTAGTCTTACGAAAAGATTCCCATTACAATTAAATATCTAGAACTCGAATGAGTCCTTTTTAACCTAACATTTCTTTTTTTTCACAGCACAAAAGTTGAATACAACATTTAATGACTTCCACCACAGTATATGTTAGTGATACGGAAGCATTGGTGAAAAATTCCAAAGACAATTTTAACGTCCACTCTCTATGATATTCGTTCATTTATATTTCATTGTAGTCAAGTCACATGTGTTTGTTGCATGGCATAAAGCATTTCCATTTATCAAACTCAATCTTATTATATGTACGTATAAACTTTGCTCTATATTTCATGAACAGGCGATCTTTTTGCAGTGGGTTTACTTGAATAGCTACTTTGATTTGTGCAGAAAAATGCACGATAACCAAATGACGAATGGTGCACATTATTGACTGTTATGTCAGTAGAGACATCTCCTGACATAAGACGGCCATCTTTATCCCTCTATCATAGTTAGGAGATGGAACCAACCGGTGGAAGAGGAGAGAAAGAGAGAAAGAACATTCTTTGCTGCTTTTTGTTTTTGATGGATTCAGTTGTTTGTTTTTGTGAAGAAAGAAGGAATAAAGAAACGGGAAAAAGGACCTAACAATTTGGTGCACTGGCCGGAGTTGTTTATTCTTTCTATAATTAGTGTATGTTAACACGACAAGGTGCAAGACGACTTATTGAAACTGAATTCCATCGATTAGCCAATATTGATATTAATTTTCCTGATCGTACAACAATATATCCAATAGTTTCTCATCCAACAGAATTAATCATGGCAGAGAAAACCGTCGCAACACTTTTAAGTAAAACTTTGGAACAAACACCGAAATTTTCTGGTAAACCCGATCAAGATGCTGATGAATGGATGAAGGATTTGACTGCTACATTTCGTATGGCTGATATAACAGAAGCACAAGCATTGAAAATAATATCTACATTTTTGGAAGGACATCCTAAGCAATGGTTTATTGAAAATAGTACAATATTCGAATCCTGGAATGTATTTAAAGCTGAATTTATTCATACGTATTCATCGCCCTCATCGAAACAGTTAGCGTCTAACCGCTTAAGAACTCGCCAGCAACGACATGATGAAGCTGCTATCGAATATTATACCGATGTTATGAAATTATGCAAATTAGTTGATCCAACCATGACTAATGCATCCAAACTTGATCACTTATATCACGGACTCAAACCGTCCCTAATGAAAGAAGTATTACGTAGAGCTCCATCCACACCAGCAGAATTTTTAGAACAAGCACGACAAGAAGAAAATTTAGATCGTTTAGTTAATACGTCTATTCAAGAAACCAATGATAGTGATACACAAACAACGAATTATTCCAACAACTCATTATATAGATTTCCACAAAATGTTGAACCTGCGCACTACCAAAATTCATCACATATGCATTCTAAAGGTTATTCCGCAAACTTATACTCACCTCGAACAACATACCATCGATTTCATGATCCATCATCCTCACGTTATCCACCTCAAACTCAACAATCTTCGTTTAATGCATTACACTATCAATCACGCCCTTTACGATGTTATCTATGTCAGAAATTGGGACATATTGCTCGTGATTGTAGATCTGCAAAAAACTATTAAGGGAGTCAAATGATGGTAGTGACTCCCACCCATCGCGACCATCAATATTTTCTTCATCAATCAATAGAACTTATTCTGTACAAAAACCACATATCTATCGTCGCTTCGTTCCGTTTTTTCGTTATCGTACTAATCGCAACATAATAAAATACCCGACTTCCTCGGTACCCCCTCGCAAATATATCACAATTAACAAACCTCGCCAACCGCTCGTTAAATCCATTGCACAACATAATGCCCTAAATCAAAATATTAAAAAATCCAACCCGTCATTAATTTTTATCAACACTCTCATCAATGGATCACGTTTACGTGCTATGATCGATACTGGTGCCACTCATTCATTTATCACTCAAGGTGCCCTTAGCACATTATATCATTCAGCCATACCCCCATGTGATCGTATAGCTCAATTAGGTGATGGTCAAACCACGCTTAAAATAGTGGGTGAAGTTCAACTATTCTTGCAATTTAATAAAGTTTTTACGCCTTTAAATGTTCTCGTCGTCAAAACAATGAATACAGATTTTATACTTGGCAGTGATTGGTGTACAAAAAATGCAGCAAGAATCGATTATGAAAAAAATCAAGTGTCTATACGTTCTTCATGTGGTCGTATATTTATTCCATATCACAAAAGCATCGATTGTTTAACTTTAGATGTCAAATCAATTAATGTTATTCATATACCTCCACGTGAATCATACACTGTTCAAGCCAAAGTCGAATTATCATCAGCTGATACCGTCTACTTCTCGCCTGTCGATCCTATACAATCCGAAAAATCTATTGTCATGTCACCTTCGTTGTTACACATAAATAATTATACCACATATTTAGAAGTATATAATCCACATGATTATACTTACACATTACCAATGAATACTCTTCTAGGTCGAGTAACACACACACCGTATGAAATGCATTCATGTTTATTATTTGATACATCTCGTGACACTTTGTCGTTATCGCCTCAACATCATATTTTTAATACAATTGAACTAGAACAAAAATCTTCTGAAACATCGAACACAATTGATAAATTAATTACGCATATTAAAAATGTTCCAGAGCAACAACAATTACGTTTAATATTACAACAGCACATGAAAATTTTTGATATTTCGAAAATTACACAAGCCAACACGCATATTCAACACACTATTAACACCGGTGATAGCCTTCCGATTAGCTCAAGACCATATCCAAGAACCATCGAACAACGACGTGAACTTCAAGATGAAATCCAAAAAATGACACAAACAAATCAAATTCGTCCATCAAATTCCCCTTGGTCATCTCCAGTTATTATTCACAAGAAAAAGGATGGTGGTATTCGATTTTTAGTGGATTATCGAAAATTGAATTCGGTGACCAAAAAAGATTGCTTTCCTCAACCAACAACTGAGGAATTACTGAATCGATTAGGTGGTCATCGTTTTTATACAAAATTAGATCTTAAATCGGGCTATTTCCAGCTTCCCATACATGAAACAGATAAAGAAAAAACAGCTTTTATTACTCAAGATGGTTTATGGGAGTTCAACGTTCTTCCACAGGGTATTATGAATGGGCCACCAACTTTTCAAAGAACTATGCACAATCTTCTTGGTTATGGCCGCTGGGATTATGTTATGGTTTATTTAGATGATATTTTGATATTTTCACATACATTCAATGAACATTTACACCAGTTAAACGAAATTCTGTCAATATTAGCTAAAGCCAACTTTCAAGTTAATCCTGATAAATGTTCCATTGCTGTTCAAGAAATCGATTTTTTAAGCCATACAATCAATGAACAATGCATTAAACCTAATGGTGATAAAATTAAAGCTATTGTCGATTTACCAACTCCAAAAAC